GAGCAGGCCGGCGCCGTACTTGTCATAGTTGGCGCGCGTGCGTGTACGTGTGTACGTGTGTACGTGTGCGTGTGTGCGCGACTCACCCATCTTCTCGACCGCGTACGCCGCGGTGATGGCGAGCAGGCCGGCGCCGTACTTGTCGTAGTTGGCGCGCGTGCGTGTACGTGTGTACGTGTGTACGTGTGCGTGTGTGCACGACTCACCCATCTTCTCGACCGCGTACGCCGCGGTGATGGCGAGCAGGCCGGCGCCGTACTTGTCGTAGTTGGTGCGCGTGCGTGTACGTGTGTACGTGTGTACTTGTGCGTGTGTGCGCGACTCACCCATCTTCTCGACCGCGTACGCCGCGGTGATGGCGAGCAGGCCGGCGCCGTACTTGTCGTAGTTGGCGCGCGTGCGTGTACGTGTGTACGTGTGTACGTGTGCGTGTGTGCGCGACTCACCCATCTTCTCGACCGCGTACGCCGCGGTGATGGCGAGCAGGCCGGCGCCGTACTTGTCGTAGATGACGCGCGTGCGTGTACGTGTGTACGTGTGTACGTGTGCGTGTGTGCGCGACTCACCCATCTTCTCGACCGCGTACGCCGCGGTGATGGCGAGCAGGCCGGCGCCGTACTTGTCGTAGATGACACGCGTGCGTGTACGTGTGTACGTGTGTACGTGTGCGTGTGTGCGCGACTCACCCATCTTCTCGACCGCGTACGCCGCGGTGATGGCGAGCAGGCCGGCGCCGTACTTGTCGTAGTTGGCGCGCGTGCGTGTACGTGTGTACGTGTGTACGTGTGCGTGTGTGCGCGACTCACCCATCTTCTCGACCGCGTACGCCGCGGTGATGGCGAGCAGGCCGGCGCCGTACTTGACGTAGTTGGCGCGCGTGCGTGTACGTGTGTACGTGTGTACTTGTGCGTGTGTGCGCGACTCACCCATCTTCTCGACCGCGTACGCCGCGGTGATGGCGAGCAGGCCGGCGCCGTACTTGTCGTAGTTGGCGCGCGTGCGTGTACGTGTGTACGTGTGTACGTGTGCGTGTGTGCGCGACTCACCCATCTTCTCGACCGCGTACGCCGCGGTGATGGCGAGCAGGCCGGCGCCGTACTTGACGTAGTTGGCGCGCGTGCGTGTACGTGTGTACGTGTGTACTTGTGCGTGTGTGCGCGACTCACCCATCTTCTCGACCGCGTACGCCGCGGTGATGGCGAGCAGGCCGGCGCCGTACTTGTCGTAGATGACGCGCGTGCGTGTACGTGTGTACGTGTGTACGTGTGTACGTGTGCGTGTGTGCGCGACTCACCCATCTTCTCGACCGCGTACGCCGCGGTGATGGCGAGCAGGCCGGCGCCGTACTTGTCGTAGTTGGCGCTCGTGCGTGTACGTGTGTACGTGTGTACGTGTGCGTGTGTGCGCGACTCACCCATCTTCTCGACCGCGTACGCCGCGGTGATGGCGAGCAGGCCGGCGCCGTACTTGTCGTAGTTGGCGCGCGTGCGTGTACGTGTGTACGTGTGTACGTGTGCGTGTGTGCGCGACTCACCCATCTTCTCGACCGCGTACGCCGCGGTGATGGCGAGCAGGCCGGCGCCGTACTTGTCGTAGATGACGCGCGTGCGTGTACGTGTGTACGTGTGTACGTGTGCGTGTGTGCGCGACTCACCCATCTTCTCGACCGCGTACGCCGCGGTGATGGCGAGCAGGCCGGCGCCGTACTTGTCGTAGTTGGCGCGCGTGCGTGTACGTGTGTACGTGTGTACTTGTGCGTGTGTGCGCGACTCACCCATCTTCTCGACCGCGTACGCCGCGGTGATGGCGAGCAGGCCGGCGCCGTACTTGTCGTAGTTGGCGCGCGTGCGTGTACGTGTGTACGTGTGTACGTGTGCGTGTGTGCGCGACTCACCCATCTTCTCGACCGCGTACGCCGCGGTGATGGCGAGCAGGCCGGCGCCGTACTTGACGTAGTTGGCGCGCGTGCGTGTACGTGTGTACGTGTGTACTTGTGCGTGTGTGCGCGACTCACCCATCTTCTCGACCGCGTACGCCGCGGTGATGGCGAGCAGGCCGGCGCCGTACTTGTCGTAGTTGGCGCGCGTGCGTGTACGTGTGTACGTGTGTACGTGTGCGTGTGTGCGCGACTCACCCATCTTCTCGACCGCGTACGCCGCGGTGATGGCGAGCAGGCCGGCGCCGTACTTGTCGTAGTTGGCGCGCGTGCGTGTACGTGTGTACGTGTGTACTTGTGCGTGTGTGCGCGACTCACCCATCTTCTCGACCGCGTACGCCACGGTGATGGCGAGCAGGCCGGCGCCGTACTTGTCGTAGTTGGCGCGCGTGCGTGTACGTGTGTACGTGTGTACGTGTGCGTGTGTACGCGACTCACCCATCTTCTCGACCGCGTACGCCGCGGTGATGGCGAGCAGGCCGGCGCCGTACTTGTCATAGTTGGCGCGCGTGCGTGTACGTGTGTACGTGTGTACGTGTGCGTGTGTGCGCGACTCACCCATCTTCTCGACCGCGTACGCCGCGGTGATGGCGAGCAGGCCGGCGCCGTACTTGTCGTAGTTGGCGCGCGTGCGTGTACGTGTGTACGTGTGTACGTGTGCGTGTGTGCACGACTCACCCATCTTCTCGACCGCGTACGCCGCGGTGATGGCGAGCAGGCCGGCGCCGTACTTGTCGTAGTTGGTGCGCGTGCGTGTACGTGTGTACGTGTGTACTTGTGCGTGTGTGCGCGACTCACCCATCTTCTCGACCGCGTACGCCGCGGTGATGGCGAGCAGGCCGGCGCCGTACTTGTCGTAGTTGGCGCGCGTGCGTGTACGTGTGTACGTGTGTACGTGTGCGTGTGTGCGCGACTCACCCATCTTCTCGACCGCGTACGCCGCGGTGATGGCGAGCAGGCCGGCGCCGTACTTGTCGTAGATGACGCGCGTGCGTGTACGTGTGTACGTGTGTACGTGTGTACGTGTGCGTGTGTGCGCGACTCACCCATCTTCTCGACCGCGTACGCCGCGGTGATGGCGAGCAGGCCGGCGCCGTACTTGTCGTAGATGAAGCGCGTGCGTGTACGTGTGTACGTGTGTACGTGTGCGTGTGTGCGCGACTCACCCATCTTCTCGACCGCGTACGCCGCGGTGATGGCGAGCAGGCCGGCGCCGTACTTGTCGTAGTTGGCGCGCGTGCGTGTACGTGTGTACGTGTGTACTTGTGCGTGTGTGCGCGACTCACCCATCTTCTCGACCGCGTACACCGCGGTGATGGCGAGCAGGCCGGCGCCGTACTTGTCGTAGTTGGCGCGCGTGCGTGTACGTATGTACGTGTGCGTGTGTGCGCGACTCACCCATCTTCTCGACCGCGTACGCCGCGGTGATGGCGAGCAGGCCGGCGCCGTACTTGTCGTAGATGACGCGCGTGCGTGTACGTGTGTACGTGTGTACGTGTGCGTGTGTGCGCGACTCACCCATCTTCTCGACCGCGTACGCCGCGGTGATGGCGAGCAGGCCGGCGCCGTACTTGTCGTAGTTGGCGCGCGTGCGTGTACGTGTGTACGTGTGTACGTGTGTACGAGTGCGTGTGTGCGCGACTCACACATCTTCTCGACCGCGTACGCCGCGGTGATGGCGAGCAGGCCGGCGCCGTACTTGTCGTAGTTGGCGCGCGTGCGTGTACGTGTGTACGTGTGTACGTGTGCGTGTGTGCGCGACTCACCCATCTTCTCGACCGCGTACGCCGCGGTGATGGCGAGCAGGCCGGCGCCGTACTTGTCGTAGTTGGCGCGCGTGCGTGTACGTGTGTACGTGTGTACGTGTGCGTGTGTGCGCGACTCACCCATCTTCTCGACCGCGTACGCCGCGGTGATGGCGAGCAGGCCGGCGCCGTACTTGTCGTAGTTGGCGCGCGTGCGTGTACGTGTGTACGTGTGTACGAGTGCGTGTGTGCGCGACTCACACATCTTCTCGACCGCGTACGCCGCGGTGATGGCGAGCAGGCCGGCGCCGTACTTGTCGTAGTTGGCGCGCGTGCGTGTACGTGTGTACGTGTGTACGTGTGTACGTGTGTACGTGTGCGTGTGTGCACGACTCACCCATCTTCTCGACCGCGTACGCCGCGGTGATGGCGAGCAGGCCGGCGCCGTACTTGTCGTAGTTGGCGCGCGTGCGTGTACGTGTGTACGTGTGTGTGTGTGCGCGACTCACCCATCTTCTCGACCGCGTACGCCGCGGTAATGGCGAGCAGGCCGGCGCCGTACTTGTCGTAGTTGGCGCTCGTGCGTGTACGTGTGTACGTGTGTACGTGTGTGTGTGTGCGCGACTCACCCATCTTCTCGACCGCGTACGCCGCGGTGATGGCGAGCAGGCCGGCGCCGTACTTGTCGTAGTTGGCGCGCGTGCGTGTACGTGTGTACGTGTGTGTGTGTGCGCGACTCACCCATCTTCTTGACCGCGTACGCCGCGGTGATGGCGAGCAGGCCGGCGCCGTACTTGTCGTAGTTGGCGTGCGTGCGTGTACGTGTGTACGTGTGTGCGTGTGTGCGCGACTCACCCATCTTCTCGACCGCGTACGCCGCGGTGATGGCGAGCAGGCCGGCGCCGTACTTGTCGTAGTTGGCGCGCGTGCGTGTACGTGTGTACGTGTGTACGTGTGCGTGTGTGCGCCACTCACCCATCTTCTCGACCGCGTACGCCGCGGTGATGGCGAGCAGGCCGGCGCCGTACTTGTCGTAGTTGGCGCGCGTGCGTGTACGTGTGTACGTGTGTACGTGTGCGTGTGTGCACGACTCACCCATCTTCTCGACCGCGTACGCCGCGGTGATGGCGAGCAGGCCGGCGCCGTACTTGTCGTAGGTGGCGCGCGTGCGTGTACGTGTGTACGTGTGCGTGTGTGCACGACTCACCCATCTTCTCGACCGCGTACGCCGCGGTGATGGCGAGCAGGCCGGCGCCGTACTTGTCGTAGTTGGCGCGCGTGCGTGTACGTGTGTACGTGTGCGTGTGTGCACGACTCACCCATCTTCTCGACTGCGTACGCCGCGGTGATGGCGAGCAGGCCGGCGCCGTACTTGTCGTAGTTGGCGCGCGTGACGTGCGGCAGCGCCAGCATGTCGTCGGCGCGCTCGGGCAGGCGCACCGACATCGCCTTGAGCGCCGCCTGCGGGAACACCGCCGCCAATGACGCCCCACGAGCTGCACCCATCTCACTATGCCACGGACATTTTACGGTTTAAGACATTTATTCCTCAAAAAGAACACAATTCACTTATCATGAAAAATAACAAGTTAATCAATACATACACAACACAATACATGAACTTATAAAGAACGGCAGGTACTTGTAAATGAACTATAAAGTAATAAGCTAATAAGATATTGTTGCGCGCCACTATTAATGTCTTGTACATGGCAACACTAGTTACACTAGCGCCCTCTAGTGTCGAGTAGCGGAACTAGGAGAGTCAAGATCCTTCCAGAAATTTCGGTACCGATATGTGCTCGAACATTCTAGATGTCGCTACAGTGGAAGGTTCTGGAAACTGTCTGAGGCCCTATATAAAGCCGGTATAGACCACGACCAGGGCAGTATTGAATTGGCGATACAAGAGAATACTTCGAAGCGAAATAACGGCGAACTGTATTATTAGTGTGATTTTAGATTGTAATTAGTGTTGTGTAATTAAAGTGTCAATTTTGGTAATTCAATCGGCAGTTTTTAATTGTCTCGAACCCCAAGCTCGTAACAATTGGTGTCAGAAGTGGGATCAAATCATGCCGATTTTACCAAAGGACGACATGGAGGGTATCCGTACCCGAAGTCAACGCCAGTTGGATACGGACCAGAGACGATTTGGTGGTGCAACATCGCAGACGTCGGAGGGCCAGCTGCCGACCACGGAGGCTGGCCCGTCAGCAGCTCCTGCATCTGCAGCACCTGACTTAGGTGCTCTGATGATGATGCTGCAGGAGCAAGCCCGCCGACAGGATGAACAGGCCCGTCGGTTGGAAGAGCAGCTGCAGCACGGTATGGAAGAGCAGATGCTCCTCAGGAAGGACCTTCGCGCTACTTTCGGGAAAGAGATAAGGGAGGTAAAGGATAGGGTTGCTCAACATGACAACCGCCTGTCGGAAGCTGAAACCCGAATCGACCAAGTGAACAATCGGGTTGACAACGTGATGGCTGACGTGAAGAAAACGCTGGACGACCTCAAACTTGGGGATGGAATTACAGCTCCCGTAGTAGCTACAACACCTTCGCTACGTGGATTCAAAGTGCCGCCGTTCGACGGGAGTTCTTCCTGATCGGCCTACAAAATCCAGTTCGAGGCTGTCATGAAAGCGAACGGCTGGAATAAAAGTCAGGCCATGACTGCTCTCACCCTAGGCCTACGCGACCAGGCATTAACTGTTCTGGAAGCTCTCGGTAAGGAAGTGACTTACGAGCAGCTCCTTGAGGCATTGGGGGCGAGATATGGCGATGCTCACCTGGAACACGTCTTTCGTGCGCAGCTCAAAGATCGCGTCCAACGCAGTAACGAAAACCTGCAGCAGTGGGCCCTTGAGGTGGAGAAGCTGGTTCGAAAAGCGTACCAGTCTGTACCTGCGCTCATTATAGGGAACCTGGTGCAGACATTCATCGACGGCATCCGCGACCTTGAAGTCAGAGCTGCTGTGAGGCTCGGGCACCACGAGACGCTTAAGGACGCCTTGGCCCATGCACTGGAGGTGGAAGCCGTGCGGCAGGATCATCGTTCCCACCGCGTCAGGGAGGTTGCAGCAGCTATAGTTCAAGACCGCAATAAGGGCTACAGCCCTAGGTGCTACGGCTGTGGGGAAAGGGGCCATCTTCGATCCAGCTGCCCTAAACGAACTGTAGAAAGGGAAGGTGATCGATATCGAGAGGGTAGTATGGCTGACAGCACCGCCCAGCAGCAGCAGGGAAACTGGCGGGTGCTGGCTGATGTTAAAAGAGCCCCAAGAATTTTGATCTCACAAACCCATGATGGGAACAGCCTAATCATCAAGGGCGAAGTCAACGGAACGCCGTGTAAACTGACCATAGACACTGGAGCCTCTCGCACGGTTGTCAGTTCCCAACTTATAAGTCGGTTCCTTGGGGACTCCGCATACAACCGAGAACGCATTAATTTGGTGACAGCCACCGGTCAGCGCATACCCGTCCGAGGAGAGAAGGAGATGGAGTTGAAGCTAGGCAAGATGATCTACCTGCATAATGTCATCGTGGCTGATATAATGGACGACTGCATCCTGGGCCTAGACTTTATGAGGAAGAATTGTTGTGAGATCGACGTTAAGCAAGGTGTTTTGAAATGTGGACAAGAGGAACTTTTCGTGGAAGGGGCGTTACCAGGGAATGTGTACAGCCTTAAGAAGATTGTTCTTCCCCCGAGATCGGAAACGATTGTGCCGGTTAGACTTCCACGGAATCCTGAGCAAACTCTTCGTTGTGTACTCGTGGAAAGGGTAGACAATGACCTTCCATGGAAAGTGGCTCGAACCTTGGTCAGAACCGCCGACATCTCAGGAGTACGTGTGCTGAACCTTTGTGATCAGTAACAAATTATAGAAAAAGGCACATTGGTTGGTACTAGTGAGGAAGTGGATTGGTTGCGTCGGTGCGAATATCTATCGACCGGGACCCCCAGCAAGGATGGACAAACGAGAGTGACCACACTTTTAGAAGACTGTCGCAGCGTTCTTTCCCCGAATGAAATGATCAAGGCGAAGAAGTTGTTACTCAAGTACGCCAATGTTTTCTCGTCAAACGAAGCTGACATAGGAAAGACTAGCTTAGTTCAACACAAAATAAACACAGGAGAAGATTTGCTTATTCGTCAGCGGCCAAGGAGATTGCCTGTAGCACGTGAAAAGGAAGTGGAAACCATGATTGAGGGAATGGTGAAGGCTGGTGTTATTGAACCTTCATCTAGTCCATGGTGTTCACCTGTGGTGCTGGTAAAGAAGAAGGACGGCAGCATGCGGTTTTGTGTTGACTACCGCCGCCTGAACGACGTTACGAAGAAGGACAGCTATCCCTTGCCAAGAATTGATGACACGCTGGACATGCTTACAGGCGTAAAGTGGTTTAGTACGCTGGACCTGAAAAGTGGCTACTGGCAGGTTGAAATTAACCCTAAGGACAAGAAGAAAACTGCATTCTCCACAGGAAAGGGTCTGTGGCAATTTAAAGTCATACCGTTTGAATTGTGCAATGCTCCAGCAACGTTTGAAAGGTTGATGGAGCTTGTACTTACCGGGTTAATTGGAGATTTTTTTATTTTATTTATTTATTCATAGAAAGAGTGTTACATAATTTACATTTCAAACTTTGCCAAACTGTATGCCAGTTTGTCGGCCGGGATGGGATGCCTGTCTGGTCTACTTGGATGACATCATCATCGTAGGCCGTACGTTTGAGGAACACCTTCAAAACTTGGAACGCGTGCTAATGAAGATCCAGAGTGCCAACCTCAAGTTAAGTCCGAAGAAGTGCTCACTATTCAAACGGCAAGTTAGCTTTTTGGGGTATGTAGTGTCGGAAGAAGGTATCCGCAAGGATCCAGAGAAAATTGCCGCTGTCAAGGATTGGCCGGTTCCAAAAACAAGACACAGGTTAGAGCATTTTTGGGTTTGTGCTCTTATTATCGGTGATTTGTGAAGAACTTTTCAGATATAGCCAAACCTCTGCACAGGCTAACCGAAGAGAAGCGACATTTCTGCTGGGATGAAAGTTGCAATATTGCATTCCAGGAGCTCAAGAACCGTCTGTGCAAAACACCTATTTTGGGGTACCCTGATGCGGGCAAGGAATTCATAGTTGACACAGACGCAAGTGATATAGGACTTGGCGGCGTGTTGTTTCAACGGAATGGTGATCAAGAGATTGTGATAGCGTACTTCAGCAAGTCATTGTCAAAGCCGGAAAGGAACTATTGTGTCACAATACGGGAATTGCTTGCTGTGGTAAAGTCCTTCCAGCATTTTAGCAAATATCTTCCGGGGCGGAAATTTCACTTACGAACTGACCATGCTGCATTGAAATGGCTATTGCAGTTCAGCAAATCCGGAAGGACAAGTTGCGAGATGGATTGAACTACTGCAGGAATACGATTTTGTGATCGAACATCGCAGCGGGAAAACTCACGGCAATGCAGATGCATTGTCAAGAAGACCTTGCCCTGAAGATTGCAAGCATTGTACTAGGCAAGAGGGTAAGGAAGTGGTATCTGTGAGGATGATCAGGATAGACCAGCTCAGCAATGAGTGGAAGGACAGCCTACAACATGCACAGCAGGAAGATTCGGACCTTAAGCCGATTCTATTATGTGCGTGCGTTTGCGTGTGTGTGTGTGTGTGTGTGTGTGTGTGTGTGTGTGTGTGTGTGTGTGTGTGTGTGTGTGTGTGTACGCGTGTGCGCGCGTGCGTGCGTACGTGCTTGCGTGCGCGCGTGCGTGCGTACGTGCTTGCGTGCGTGCGTACGTGTGCGCGAGCGCCTATGTGTATGTGTGTGTGTGTTCATTTTTGCGTACGCGCGTACGTGAGTGCGTACGTGCGTGCGTGCGAGCGTGCGTGCTTGTGTGTGTGTGTGCGTGTGTGCATGTGTGTGCGCGTATGCGCGCGTGCGTGCGTACGTGCGTGCGTGCGTACGTGCGTGAGTGTGTGTGCGTGTGTGCGTATGTGCGTATGTGTGTGTGTGTGTGTGTGTGTGAGTGTGCGCGCGCATGTGTGAGTGCGCATGTGTGAGTGCGCATGTGCGTTTGTGTGCGTTTGTGTTTGCATTTGTGCGCGTTTTCGTTTGCGTTTGTGTGCGTTTGCGTGCGTTTGCGTTTGTGTGCGCGCGCGCGATTTTTGAGACACTAGTTGTGTCTCAAAAATTTGTTCTGTCTGTCAGGTATCGTTCGATTTCAAAATCTAATCAGATCTTAAACTCAAAAAACAACATCAATTACATTTGAAATTAAAATGAAGTTTCAGGGATGGCCTGTAGGGCCAATCGTTATTTTTTTTTTACTAATACTACTGTCGTTTTTGTGAACATATATTAAATTTTCGTTAATATACTGAGAGCTTACATTATTTGTATGCAAGCTATAGAGCGCGCGTTAGCAACTCAAAACAGTAAACACGGGTGTGAACAGTCTCGAAATAGCAAGGGCGACGTTATTATTCACAAAAAGTCACGCGA